GGAGAAGGTCAATTGAAAATTCAAGGCAGCGTAGTAAACGTACCAATTGACTTGACAAAAACAACCAATATTCTACCACGAAAAGCAGAAAATTTGGCTACTATTAAAATTATGAAAGTCAAATTAAAAAGAAAATCTTGTTTTAAGCAACATTATTTATACCAAAATGTTCGCCCTATGTTAGTTGTGAGGGCTTTGATGGATCTTAGAGACCAACCATTGTACAAAGGTGTAGAAATTGACGAAGAATGGTATAGCCATGTAACAAATTATATTCAAACAATGACAGAGGAGATAGACTTATTAGTTAGTGAAGAGTCCGATAAGAGTGACAATGATGAACTAGTCAACCCAGGAACTATAGACACTATGGTTGAAAATGGTGACTATGTGTCTTTTGCTCCGGGTGAAGGTATGAGTCCCTTATCCATCCTAATTGATGACCATGCCGAAGAAAAGGCGTTTCCTAATTTGTTTGGTGGCCATCCTAGAAAACTTAAAGATCCATTAAAAAATTACTCCAAGGTAATTAGATCAGAACTTTTGAATATAGATAGGCGTTTTGCAGCAGATACGCCAAATTTATTTTTCAAATGTAAAGTTTTTGTACACAAACAAATTTCAAATAATGTACAAATAATTATGCGAAAAAATAAAAAAGAAAATGTAACAGCTAGTGACGTTGCAAATTCTGAAAATCTAACGAAAATGATTGATGATGATCAAGGCTACCGTTTATTACACAATGTACAGAATTCACCATCACATTTAGCCACTGTAAGGAAAAATACTTTTGCGATGGTAAGACAATTAGGTCACCCTACAATATTTTTAACAATTAGCCCAAGTGAGTCAACATGGAGTGATTTATTGAAAATATTGTATAAATTACGTCACAAAATTGAAATATCTGACGAAGACGCTTTAAATTTACCATATGCAGAAAAATCAAATTTAATCAGAGAAGATCCTGTTGTTTGTGCTACATATTTTGATCAAAGATTTAGAGCTTTATTTAAATTGATAAGAAATAAAAATGGAATTTTTAATGAACACCCAGTTTACCATTATTTCTATCGTGTTGAATATCAGCATCGTGGTAGTCCACATGTTCACATGATTTTATGGCTTGTGAACGCACCTCAATTTGACCCTGCCAAGCCTGAAACATTTGACGCCTGTGTGACCCTTATAAATAAGTATATACAATGCATGGTTTCCGAAGACAGCCCTGCGAATGCATATAGCAGATCAAAACAAACTCACCGTCATACACATACTTGTTATCGTAGTGCAAAAGACAAAGAGACTAACAATTGTCGATTTAATATACCTTATCCTCCAATGAAAGAAACTTGTATATTAACACCACTAACGCCGGAAACCAGTTCAAACTATAAAGAACGGTTACATAAATACAAAGCTTTAATACNCTATAAAGAACGGTTACATAAATACAAAGTTTTAATGCAATACCTAAGGAATTATAAATCTACAGAAAACCAATCTATAGAAGAAATGTTGCATAATTTACAAATAACATCCTACAATGAATATAAATCTATTATTAGGGTTGGAATTAAACGACCCATGGTATTTTTAAAAAGAGATATGGAACATCGTATGGTATCTGGGTTTAATGAAATTTTACTTCCATTATGGGAGTCCAATATGGACATTCAGTTCATTTTAGATACATATTCTTGTGTCAAATATGTCATTGAATACATAGGAAAAAGTCAAAGAGGTATATCTAAGCTTATGAAAGACATAGTAGAAAGTTTAAAATCATCATCAGACATGTCTGTAAAAACACAGTTATGGAAAATTGCGTCTTTATTTTCCGGAAGTCAAGAAATATCTGCTCAAGAAGCGGTCTACACTTGTTTAGGAATAAAGCAATCATGCACATCTACTGACCACGTATTTATTAATACAAGTCATTCGGATAAAAGAACTCGCATGGTTAAACCTATTGCTCTTCGGGGTTTAATGAATCCTGAATCTACTGATATATTTTGTGATGGACTAATAGAATATTATTCGTGTAGACCACTTTATTATGAAAATTTAACTCTAGCTGAATTTGCAGCTGACTTTGAAATTAAAAGTAAACAAAAATCATATAAAAAGTTGGATAATTCTGAGTCTGATGATACAATAGACGCTGAATCAAATGATGATGTATTTTATGAAAGTAATGTTCTAATTGGGAAACCCAACAAGTTTATGCATAAGCGTAAGATTCGAAAGATTATTCGATACGTAAGATTTAGTATCGATAAAAGTCCTGCTGACTTTTATAGGGAAAGAATTATGTTGTTTTTTCCTTGGAGAAATGAATACAATGATATAGAAAATATAAATTGTCAAGAAGTATATGAAAAAAATATTGAACAAATTCAACAAATGTATTATCAGTTCAATAAAATTGAAGAAGAAGATTTAGATGAAGATATAAATAACGTTGAAAAGCAACAAGATATTAATGAGACTGAATTACCGGATGATTGGGTCCCACACGATAAGATAATGTTGAATATAGGAGATTTTAAAGACAATGACGATGCTGGTAATTCTGNAAGACCATGACGATGCTGATAATTCAGATAAAAATAATGAAATCAATGGAATGTTTAACGTACATAAAATTAATAACGAACAATTTATAAACCTAGTGAAATGTATGAATGAAGGTCAACGTATGATTCTCTATCATGTTACTAATGTACTTAGACAGCAAATATGGGGATCAGGTGCACCTAGTATTTTATGCTATGTAACTGGCCCAGCTGGGGCTGGTAAATCTGTACTTATACGGACTTTAGCTCAATCAACAATTAGAATAGCTAATGTCAGGCCAGATATAGATGATTTGTCACTTACTCCTGTGTTACTCACAGCACCTACAGGCAAAGCAGCATACGGTATAAGAGGTTTAACACTTCATGCTGCATTCAAATTACCAATTAATCAATTTTCTGGGATATTACCAAAACTTGGTGCTGACATATCAAATACTTTACGGTGTCAACTGGCTAATGTCAAACTACTCATAATTGATGAAATTTCTATGGTTGGCTTAAAGACTCTTGGTTACATTGATCAACGACTCAGACATATTCTACGTATTGACAAACCATTTGGTGATATAAATGTGATTGTTTTTGGTGACTTTTATCAATTACCACCAGTTTTATCCACACCACTGTACGAATATTTTGATCAAATAGTTGCCAAATATCCAACTTCGATAGAATTACTAGCGACGAAAGCGATATGGGAAACTTTTCAGTTTTATGAGTTAACTGAAATTATGAGGCAGAAAGATGATAAAGAATTTTCTGTAGTATTAACTAAATTAGCAAGAGGAGAACTGACTCAAAAAGATATCGATTTTTTTATGAATCTTACAAAACCATTAGATATTAATTTTCAACCGGGCGTTATGCATCTATGGGCCACAAATAAAGAGGTAGATGATATGAATAGAAGAGTATTAAGTAGTCTAAATACTACTAGTTTTGTGTCTGAAGCAATAGATACAACAGGTAGAAAAGTTGACATCACTGCAGCAAAGAATCTTCCAAGACAAAAAACAATGGGATTACCTAAAACACTAATACTAAAATTAACAGCAAAATACATGGTTGTTACAAATATCTGTACAGAAGATGGTATTGTCAATGGCGCAATTGGAGAATTGATGCAAATTAACCGAACAGTAACTGCTAATGGTAAAGAAGTTGCACATAGAGTGTGGATAAAATTTGACGAACCAGAAATTGGTTCAATCACCAGACAAAAAGTTAAAGGAAAGTTATCTCCTCAAGGAGATGTATCTGACGACTGGTCTCACTGGACGCCTATTGAAATTACACACTTAGAATTTCAAATTGGTAACTCAGAGAAACGGAAAATTACTCGAACACAATTACCTTTGGTTAAGGCATTGGCCTTGACTGTTCATAAATCGCAAGGGGCAACTTATGAAAATGTTGCATATCATGTGCCTAAAAAGAATTTAGTGTGCAACATGCTTTATGTTGGATGCAGTAGAGCAACATCGGCTAAGGGCTTGAGTATAGACTATTTTCCATCTAATCCGCCAAAACCTACTGTTAAAGTTAATGTTGAAATGACTAGACTGCGATCTTGTACAATTAAACCTAAATTTGAATTTTTGACATTAAATAGTCACCCGATATATTGTGTTTCCCACAATATAAGATCATTAAACAAATATGTTGAACACATTCTTGCTGATAAAATATTATTAAAATCAAATTTACTATTTTTTCAAGAAACTGGAACTACAGATTCTGATTTTTATAATATTGAAGGATTCACAGAGGTATGTAGGATCAATAAAGTTCATGACAATGGCAAAAGTGGTTCAATATGCTTCATAAATAATAATATACGTCATAGTCTCAAGTCAAGTGAACACTCAGTTATTACTCATAACAAAGAACACATGGAAATTATTTGTGTTATCCTTGATAATTACACATATGTCGGATTATATGTTTCGCCTAAATTTCCTACAAACAAAATGTGTGAATGCTTAAAAAATATCATCGGTATTAATGAAGAAAACATCATTATAATTGGGGATTTCAATATAAATTTCTATAAAATCCCCAATGTTCTTAATAAAACTATAGAAGAGATGAAGTATAAAATACTTGTCAATGAAATTACAACAGACTATGGTACTTGTATTGACAATGTTATAACCAACACTAATTTTAATGTAATTGTTTATGAAAATCTGGTTAGTGACCATAGACCTTTGATTTTAGTGGACAAAGGAACAAAATCTCCTTCTCGATCAAACAACCAGGAAAGGATTGATAACTACTCTATACCACCATTGAAAGAAAAACTACAATCCTCAGAGGATTTAAATAAACACATTGAACATGCATGAAACACTTGGAACAGTTGTACACGGTAAAGATGATGACGCTCTTATTGAATCTGAAGATATGNAACAGTTGTACATGGTAAAGATGATGACGTTCTTATTGAATCTGAAGATATGAAAACTATGAAAGATATGTTTAATCGTTCAATGAGCATTACCGATGACAATGATCATTCAGATGTATCAATTGCAAAAAAAAAAATTGTGAAAAATAAAATAAAGATTTCTCGAAAAATCATTGGCTTTGAAAATATAGATAATGTATCATGTTATGCAAACTCTGTTATTCAAGCTTTATATCATTGTGATAAGTTAGTAAGTGCGATTCATAAAGGTCAAGTTGGAGAAAAATTAAAACAACAGCTTATTGGCTATGAAGCTAATAAAGTGACTAATATGTTTGAAATTAGAAAATATGTTGATGACACTTTAAACAATACGATTTTTACAAGAAATGAGCAACAAGATTGTGTAGAATTTATGGAAGCTTTAATGAATTGTAACCGTAGTATATATGATATCTTATTCAGTTTTACCGAAAGTTGTATAAGTTACTGTGATAACTGTAAAAAAGAAATTTGCATTCAAGAGGAACGAAATCTTGTGAAACGTTTAGAATTACCTTCTAATTGTGAACATAGTATAGAGCTAGAAAGTCTACTTGAATTGAATAAAAATAAATGGACATCCATTGCTGATTATTCTTGCCAAAACTGTAATCAAAAAGGAGGTTTCAAAAGACGGCACGAAATAAAAAAGGCAAATGATTACTTAGTATAACAATTGTCATTATTCAATTCTGCTTGGATAAATGGTCAAAATGTAATTAATAAAATAACAGATATGAAGTTGAAAAATATAGCTGATTATTCTTGCCAAAACTGTAATCAAAAAGGAGGTTTCAAAAGACGACACGAAATAATAAAGGCAAATGATTACTTACAATTGTATTACAATTGTCATTATTCAATTCTGCTTGGATAGATGGTCAAAATGTAATTAATAAAATAACAGATATGAAGTTGAAAAATATTTCTAAAGCTCAATTTACAATCGAAAATTTTTTTTACACGCCTTTGGCTACAATATTTCATTTTGGCGATGATACTAAATCTGGACATTATACCGTATATTTAAAAGAAAAGTTCAAATGGATATGTTGTAATGATAAAAATGTATCTGAAAAGAGATGGCCAAGTAATGGAAAAGGGGCGTACTTAATTATTCTAAAAAAAGATAATTCATCTGTCAATAAATTAACAAATCCATCAAAAGAAAATGAACCTAGTATAATGTTGGATTATACGAACAATGTATTGCAATCAGTTATGTATGAAGAAGACGACGACGCTTTTATGGTGCCTGAAGAAATAGAAACAATGGAAGATTTTTTCAGTCGGTCATTGAGTATGACTGATGGCAATGGACAGATAAATATAAAAAGTTATAAGAATTTAATTTCAAAACAATCTAATCAAAAAGATATAAAACAAATCTCATCAATTGAGTGTAATATAAAAATGGATTGTAATTGTAAAAATCCATTGTTAAAATCAAATGAAACCCAAAATAATATTTTAAGAAATAATTTATACAGTAACATGCTACCAAAAGATTTGGAATACTANTTTTAAGAAATAATTTATACAGTAACATGCTACCAAAAGATTTGGAATACTTTAGACTGGTAGTTGACCACACAAATAGAGTTAAGAAATTAATAAATAACAAAGTAAAATTATTTAATTTTATAGTTGGTACCTATTATCATATCATACCTAATTCGACAATATATACTTTAAAAACATTAGATATTAATGATTTTAATTGTCTTTATGGAGAAAGTTGGCTAAGCAACTTTGTAATTGATATTTGTTTGGCCATACAGTCTATGAATAAACAAACAGTTTTAAAAGTTTTATACTGTAACGAAGTAACAGAAATTTTAAGTAGTACGCAAAAAAAACAAGAACAGATAAATAGGTATAACTTCGAAAAAAATAGTACTCTCATTATGCCATGGCATATAGAATTATCAAAAATGAATCATTGGATTATTGCAGTAATTAATTTCGATCTTAAAGAGTGTTTCNGTAATTAATTTCGAACTTAAAGAGTGTTGCATAATAGACCCAATGAATCCTACTAAAGATCCAAAATACAATCAGCAAAAGTTTCAAAAATTATATAGAGGGTTAAAAAAACATTGTATTTATGTTAAAAAACCAATTCCTCAAGTATCATTGGTTCAATGTAAAGCCAAAAACATACCAAAACAAGTTGATGCTTATAACTGTGGAGTTTATATAATATATTACGCTATCACAATAATGAATAAGTCACATTTCGACAAGAAGTTCAACCCTAATAATTATAGAAACGAATTAAAAAGTTTATTGTTGGAAAATTCAGGTGACATGGCAAACATATGTTTATATTGCCAAAAGTATATAGAACATCACAGCAGAATTGAATGGGTGTCATGCACTACATGTTATCGTCGTGTGGTAACTGATTGTATAGCTGATGAGTATAGACTAAATGATTACAAACATTTTGATTTCTATTGCATTTTGTGTGACAAGACTAATAATTAAGTAAAACTATTTATTATAAAAATGTTATTTTTAATGAACAGCAAATCGTCGTCTCCATAAAAAAAATCGTTTTTTATTAATATAGTTTATTTTAAGTGAAAAATCTAAACCTTTAATTTTGATATATGGATATAAATTTTGTTTTCATAAAACGTTTTAAATTTTTACCTTAATCTTAGTAATTATGTTGATGATAATTGACTACATTTTTTATTTTATATTAATTCAACTTAAATATTTTTATCTCAAGACAATAAAAGAGTAAAATACTTTCTCTGCTTCATAACGAAGCTAAAAAAATTTTTTGGGAGACTTAACAGCCAACCTCCTCGTGGTGTCTCCTGGATAACGCTAATAGGCTGAAGTATGAAAAATTATAAATTCATATCGTTACAATAGGCTAAAGTTTAGGAATGAATTCATATGTGTATTGGAAATTAACTCGTACATCTTCTAATTTGACCCGGGGAATCAATTATTACATAAAATAAGTCTTGGAAATCAACTCACCGACACCTATCTATACTTATCCTAACTGCTGCGTAACCACTTGACTGCAACCCCACTGTGCTACCGTTTTTTTAGTAATTAATTCTATAGATGAGTTTAGAGTTTTATATGAAAAAAATAATTTATTAATAAGTTAATATTAATTCGTTGGATAGATTGAAAAATTTACTCATCGTATCAATCAATTAAAACTTTCAGACCCAACTTTCCATTTTTAGCTAAAAATGGCTCAAAAACAATTTTTTTAATAATGTGTAGCTCTAGGATACGTTAAAAATTATTTCAAATAAATTTATTTTTAAATTTAAACTTTGAGTTTTGTATTATCTTTGGCTTTGTGAAAGCTGTTAAAAAAATCTAATCAGTTGTGCGTATTATAAAAATTGATTATAATTATAAAAATCAATTATAAAATAAGGTAACCAAAAATCATTTAAACAGTAACATTTTACCAAATAACTTTGAATATTATAGATTGTTAGTATACCATAGTCAAGAAATTAATAAAAGCAAAGTAANTGTTAGTATACCATAGTCAAGAAATTAATAAAAGCAAAGTAAAATTATTTATTTTATAGTTGGCACATACTATCATATCATACATAATTCGAAAATATATACTTTAACAACATTAGACATTAACACGTTGATGGACAAAATCATATATTACTGTTATGACAGTAATATTAAAATTTGACGTCTGGGGTCACTTTTAAATATTACTGCTATAATAGTGGTATAAAAACTATTTTAAAAATGTCATTACTGATATAGCAGTAATATTTTCAATGATTTCTTATGAAGGAGGAAGTTGTTTTGACCCCATGCATCTCATCCCATTTTGAAGTAGGTGTTTGTAAAATACCATGTCATTAACTGTCTATCAACGTGTTAATGATTGTAATTGTCTATATTGAGAATGTGAGCTAAGTAACTTTTTAATTGATAAAGTGGACATTTTATCAATTTTTGACGGTAATATCTTCAACTAGATACAAATTGTAATCATTTGACATATCATTGAAAAAATTGGTCAAGTGAGAGCTCAGAAAAATGAGCGACAAACACAATAAAATAATAATAGTAATTAAATTTAGTATGAAATTAATATTCAATAATTTAGTATTGTTAAGTCTAAACTCATACGCAGAAATTATAAAGTAGTAGTATATTCCTTTACTTTTAACGTGTATAAAAATTTAAAGAGATTGATGCAATACTTTTTAATAAAAAATTTTTGTCACTTATGAATAAATACACTGGACTACAAGAAAAATTCATCAGAATTAAAAATATTAAAATTTTAAAATATAAAAATATTAAAATATAATATATATATTTAAAATATTAAAATATAAAATTTTTTATATTATTACTAATAACATATAAAATAATAATTAAAAGAAAAAAAATTTGTTGTCAAATTATTACTGATTTTGATTTTTAATATATTAAAAATAATCAGTCCAAAATTTCATTTTTAACCAATTTTTTTGGTTTTTTAGGTTAGTGAAAAATTATTGTGAAAGTTTATCGTAAAAAAAAATTAAATATGTTGCCGTAACTTTTAACTCAATTGCAAGTTTAAAATTGACATCATTAAATAGAAAGTTTTATGAGAATTAAAAAAATTGTATTGTTAAGATTAATATGCAGTCAGGAAATTTTATAATTACTATTTATAGTAAATTTATCAGAGTAGCTCAATATTTTTTTGCATTTATATCGTAATAGATAACTTAAATAGAAATAATAGTAATCATTTCATAGTATCTTTTGGTGTTTAAGAAGATACTACAATTAAAATATGAACTGAATTAATTTTAATGTTTTACTTTAACTAAAATAACCAATAAATAGATACGAATTGTAGTAATTTGACGTATTGTTGAAAAAAGTAGGTCAAGTTAGAGCAGAGAAAANCATCATAGTAAAATTAATATCTTCTCAGCTTCGCATCGAAGCTAAAAAAGGGATTAAAAAGATCTACTCAATAGCGTATTATAAAATTTGATTATAAAATCTATTATAAAATTGTAAAAATCCATTGTTAATTCAGGAGAAACTAACAATTATATTTTTTAGAAATGATTTATATAGCAACATGTTACCAAAAAATTTGGAATATTATAGTCTAGTTATAGTACACACAAATACAGTAAAAAATTTATTAAATTACAAAGTAAAATGATTTAATTTTGTAGTTGAAACCTATCATACACCCAGAGAAAAACCTCGATCTATATAATAAATTCATTGTTCAATTTGATAAATATATCATTACTATTAATCAATGATATATTTATCAATATGATATTTTTTTTTCTTGTCTTGAACAATAATTATTTATAAGAATAGTTATTTTGTTCGTATTAATAAAACATTATCATAAACCCTTGATAAAATTTCTCTTTCAATTTTGATTGAGGTTTTTCTTTGGGTGTATTAAACTTGATTCGTCAATAAATACTTTGAAAGCATTAGAAATTAATGATTTTAATTNAAACTTGATTCGTCAATAAATACTTTGAAAGCATTAGAAATGAATGATTTTAATTGTCTGTATGGAGACTGTATGTCTGTATGGAGATTATAAGTAACTGTTTAATTGATAAATTAGAATTTTTTTTAAATTTTTGAAGGTAGTATCTTCAACTATTTGTAATCATTTGACGTATCGTTGAAAAAAGTAGGTCAAGTTAGAGCAGAGAAAATAAATGATAGTCACAAAAAAATATCTTCTCAGCTTTGCATCGAAGCTAAAACTTAAAATATAGTAAAATAATTTTAATA